GAAAGAACAAGTTAGGAACTATTTAGAAAAGCTAGACATACACAAATCCATGGGTCCAGATTTAATGCATCCAACGGTACCGAGGGAGTTGGCAACCATCATTGTGGAGCCTTTGGCCGTTATCTTTGAAAACTTGTGGAGATCGGGAGAGATCCCGGATTATTGGAAAAAGGCAAATGTAGTGCCCATCTTTAAAAAAGGGAAGAAGGACAATCCAGGGAACTACAGACCAGTCAGTTTTCCCTCAGTCACCAGAAAAATCATGGAGGGGATCCTCAAGGAATCCATTTTGAAGCACTTGGAAGAGGGGAAAGTGATCAGGAATATTCAACATGGATTCACAAAGGGCAAGTCCTGCTGGACCAATCTGATTAGCTGATTACCTTGACTTTAGCAAAGCTTTTTATACAGTCTCTCACAATATTCTTGCCAGCAAGATAAGGGAGTATGGATTGGATAAATGTAAGATAGAGAGAAAGCTGGCTAGACAGTCACGCCCTACGGGTAGTGATCAACGGCTCGATGTCAGGTTGGTGGTTGGTTTCTAGTGGAGTGTCCCATGGATCTGTTCTAGGACTGGTTTTGTTCAACATTTTTATTAATGACCTGGATGAGGGGATGGATTGCACCCTCAGCAAGTTTGCAGATGACACTAAGCTAGGGGGAGAGGTAGATACGCTGGAGCGCAGGGATAAGGTCCAAAGTGACCTGGACAGATTAGAGGATTGGGGCAAAAGAAATCTGATGAGGTTCAACAATGACAAGTGTACTTGGGACGGAAGAATCTCAAGCATTGTTACAGGCCGAGGACCGAATATCTAAGTAGCACTTCTGCAGAAAAGGACTTGGGGATTACAGTGGATGAGAAGCTGGATATAAGTCAACAGTGTGCCCTTGTAGCCAAGAAGATGAATGGCATATTAGGGTGCATTAGGAGGAGCAATGCCAGCAGATCTAGAGAAGTGATTATTCACCTTTATTCAGCTCTGGTGAGGCCACACCTGGGCTGTGTCTAGACTGGAAAGTTTTTCTGGAAAATCAGCCGCTTTTCTGGAAAAACTTGCCAGCTGTCTACACTGGCCGCTTGAATTTCCGCAAAAGCACTGACTTCCTACTGTAAGAAATCAGTGCTTCTTGCAGAAATACTATTCTGCTCCCATTAAGGCAAAAGTCCAGTGTAGACAGCTCAGATTTGTTTTCTGCAAAAAAACCCCGATCGCAAAAATGGCTGGGTGTCACTGGGTGGGGCAGAGTCCAGAGCAGTTGGGGCCAGACAGAGCAGTGAGAGGTGCTGGGACCCAGGAGATCAGGGGAGCCACACACCAGTGGCCCATCAGCTACTCCGTCCCCCTCTTAACCCTGGTTTAAGAGTGTGACCCTTGAAATCTTGATCATCATGAGCATCTACAGGGTAATTCTGATTCCAATGTATCTAGTGGGGTCTTTGCCCATACATAGCCCCATTCTAGTGTTATGAACCAAGAGGATCTGGGATGACTCAGATGACAAAACACCTTTCCTAGCTCCAGTCCACACCCGCTACTCCAGACAGTCATCCTCACTAGATCGCAGGACTCACCCACAACAGAGAGGGGAAGACATCCCCTCCCACACTCAGTCAATCCTCCCCAAGGCCTGCATGACGGTAGTGCTGGTGTCACAGGGAGGTTTTGGAGACTGAGCTATGGCCAGACTGGGTTAACCATACCGCAGGATTAATGAGCCACATTCAACCATAAGGGACAGACAGTAGGGAATGTGGGTGTATTTGTGTCTTTGTAAGCACATTGTTAGAGAAGAACTGTAGAATCAAATGGCCCCAATCTACACCGTATTCATCTTTGTTTAAAGTGTATGGCAAATCATCTGTGAATGGCTGTCTCTTACGTCACCCCAATCCGTGTAGCTAATTCCTGGTGATGCTGGGGAGAAAGAGCTTTTTGGAAGAATCCAGGACTGAATGGTGGAGAGGCTGCTGGAAAGCTCTACAAAGACCTGATCCTTTTTACTTTCAATCTCACTTACGCTTTATCTGGGAAGGTTTTAATCCATGGATAGGAGATCTCCAGGTCTGCTTGGATCCCTCTTGAATGATCAACACTCGACTATAATCTAGAGGCTAATTCTGTACCCACTTTTTGCACCTCCGAAGCTCAACATCTCGGTTGGCTGCCCTGGGAGCTGGTCACAGAAACACCAGTGATTCAGAGCAGAGAGGTCAATCGCTGGATGTCTGCCTCCTCCCAGTGCAGGTACCAGCACCATTCTGGGGCACAGAGGTCACTACAGATTCTACAATGACAGCACCCAGAGTGACCCAACCCTGAAGCGCTCATCTTCATAATGACGGCATTTGCTAAGAAAGAGCTGAGCTGGCGGCCAACTTAACTATTGGCAGTGATGCTGTAATCAGTGTCTGCAGGAAGAGAGGCTAGCCTAACGAGTCTCTTGGTGGTGAAAATCACTGTGTACATGGCGGAGAGGGGCCTTGTGACATGAAAATAGCCCAACCAGGAGGGACAGACAGGGATCTCCACAAAGGAGCAGGGACGGCTCAGGAGCCGGAAGTCTGGCTTTGGGGCCCTTGCTGGACATGGACGGGGACTACTGGATAGACCACCCTGAACTGTAACAGAACCAACACCCACCCCTGCAGCATAATTTTGTGCCCTGTAGGAGGTGATATAGATGAGGTTACCTGCGCACATGGCACTCGCATCTTCTCCGTGGTTACAGTTGTGGTCTCCCCAGGGCCGGGCCGTGCATTCGGAGAGGGAAGCTTCTGTCCCCTTGCAGTTAACGTCATCCAACCAGATACGCTCAGAGCCTTGTCCAAACCGAGCCCCCCCTGGGGCTGAGAGCGCCGTCCCACAGCTCAGTTGTGAGCCTCGTCCAAACTGAGCCCCGCCTGGGGCTGAGAGCGCCGTCCCACAGCTCAGCTGTCTGCACACGACTCCAGCATCATTTAAGTCCCAGCCGTCATCACAGACGGTCCCCCACTGCATGTTGCGTAGCACCTCGACTCTCCCAGAGCAGCGACTCGAGCCGTTTACCAGACGGAGATGAATTTCCCCTGGAGCAGTTGAATCTATGAACACCCAAAGGAGGAGACACTCAGATTCCCGTGCATCAGATCTGGAAGAACGCCGGGGAAAGAAGTGCTTCCCTCTGATGGTTCTTGCACCGCCTTGGTTGTGAGGTGGATAAGGGTTACATGAGGGACCTACACTGGCATATTCTCCATCGTTACAGGGTTAGAGACGCAAGGGTAAATGAGGGGAGACAATGTTCTTGAACAAGGACTGGTTTAAGAGAGTGTCCCTGGAAATCTTGATCAGCATGAGCATCTACAGCAGCATTTCTTAAAGGGTGTTCCGCGGCACACCAGTGTGCAGTGAGGCAGTCAGCAGTGTGCCGTGGAAAGAACAGATAAAATTCTGCTCTCCCACCCACTGCAGAGCCCGTAGACAGCTCCTGCTGCGGCTGCTTCCCGCTCCGCCTCCAGACTGCATTACGACCCCTGTCCTATGGGACCTCTGGTGCCCTGCAGCCTTGTCCTCCTCCAAATGTGCCGGTAGCAGCTTTTACCTGCCCTGCCAGCAGAAAGCCTGGCCTGGTGCTGCAGCTGCACTGGGTTCCCTGCTGCATGGGTGGAGGGTGAGGGGGAGGCCAGAGAACTGAGCTCTCCATCTTCCATTAGCTAGAATTTGGCCAATGGGAACAGTGGGAGGCTGTACCTGGGGCACGAAGCTGGGCGCAGGGCATAAAAGCAAATAAGTGTCCCCCCACCCCCTCATGCCCAGACCCCGCACCCTAACCCCCCTTCACGCTCCTTCCCCTGCCAAGACCCCACATTCCCAGCTTGCTCTCACACCCTGCCCCAAGTACCCTCCTGCACCCTGCCTCCTGGCCAGACCCTCTGCCCCAATACTTGCTCCTAGCCAGACATTCAGCCCCTCTACCCTCCCTCCTGGCCGAACACATGACCTTATTTACCATTTATTTTTTATTATCTTTGGTGTTCCTCATAAAAAAATTGTTTGGTGTTCCTCAGTCTTAAAAAGTTTAAGAAACAGCTGCAGCGGCAGAGGAGTCAGCAAACAGAGCTGTGAACAGGGGAGTTTGAGTGGGAGTTGGTAAAGGGAGTTTGGATTATGGGACTCGTTTGGGATTTGTTTTTGCCGTTGGGGGGGTCGTGTTTTGGTTTGTTTTTGTGTTTGCCAGATTAACAGGATTTAGGGGAGAAGGCCAATAAACACAGAGGCAGCAGTGGCCATGACCCAAGTAGTGGAGGACACAAGGAGGATGATAAGATGTGGCAGCTGCGGTATGTACATGATCCTGGAGGGGGTACCTGAAAGGAGTTTTGTTTGCATGAAGTGCCGCCTCATAGAACTGATGGAAGAAAATATCTGAGAATTGGAGGTGGAAACTCTGGTCGAGTTTAGAAGGGGGTTTGAGCAGATGATGGAGCAAAGGCATGATGTGGCTGAAGGGGAAAGCTTAGACATGCAGATGGAAGCAGGATCAAAGGCCTCTGAGGGGGGACTGCTGGGCGAAGAAAATGGACAGTGGAAGCATGTGACTAAGAGAATCAGGCAGAGGAAAAGATGGGCCAGTGAAGGAGAAATTGAGCTTAAGAACAGGCATGCGGAGTTGGAGAATGGAGAAAGGGTACAGCAGGTGGCCACTGAAGGTGGAAAGGCAAGGAAGAAGGGTACGTCTACACTACAGCGCTAATACGAACTAACTTAGTTCGAATTAGTTAATTCTAACTAAGCTAATTCGAACTAACGCGTCTAGAACTAAAAACTAGTTCGAATTAGCGTTTTGCTAATTCGAACTAGCATGTCCACATTAAGTGGACCCTGAACCGGCTTAAGGATGGCCGGAAGCAGTGCCGGCAGGGCATCAGAGGAGGACTTAGAGCGTGGAGATGCTGTCTCAGGCTAGCTGAGGGCTGCGCTTAAAGGGTCCCGACCCCCACCCCGGACACACAGTTCTAAGGGGTGCCCCGCTTGCAAAGAAGTTCTGGCTTGGAGTGCCCTGAGTGCCCACACTGGGCACATCACACCACTCGGCCATCAGCCCGGCTGCACTTGCCGCAGGCTGCCATCTGGGGAGAGGGAGTAATTGGGGGGCTGCAGGAGAGCTTCCACCCCCAGAAGCCCGCAGAGCCAGCCCAGTCCTCCCCATCGGGGGCTCGTACCCCATTCCTCCCTCACCTCCTTCCACTTACCCCTCCCTAGCCCCCCTTCCTGATGTACAAAATAAAGATAACGTTTCTTCCAACATTGACTCTGTCTTTATTGAAAAAAAACTGGGGGAGACTGGGAAAAGGAGGTGGGAGAGGGGAAGAGAAAGGCTGGGAGAAGAGAGGGCAACTAACATGATCAGGGGTTGGGAACAGGTCCCAGATGAAGAAAGGCTACAGAGACTGGGACTGTTCAGCTTAGAAAAGAGGAGACGGAGGGGGGACAGGATAGAGGTCTCTAAAAGCAGGGGTTGGGTGGAGAGGGTGCATTCAGAAAAGTTCTTCCTGAGTTCCCATAAAGAAGGACTAGAGGACACCAAAGGAAAGGAATGGGTAGCAGGCTTGAAACTAGTAAGAGAAAGTTGTTCTTGACAAAGCAAATAGTTAACCTGTGGAACTCCTTGCTGCAGGAGGCTGTGAAGGCTACAACTAGAACAGAGTTGAAAGGGAAGTGAGATCAAGTCATGGAGGTTGGGTCCATGGAGTAGTCTTAGCCAGGGGGTAGGAGTGGTGTCCCTGCCCAAAGTTTGTGGAAGGCTGGAGAGGGATGGCACGAGACAAATGGCTTGGTCACTGTCTTCGGTCCATCCCCTCCAGGGTCCCTAGGGTTGGCCGCTGTCGGCAGACAGGCTACTGGGCTAGATGGACCTTTGGTCTGACCCAGGACGGCCATTGTAAGCTCAGGGCTCAGGGTCGGGGGTCTCAGTGGACCCCCTTGATTTTCATGCACACCTGCTCCTGGGTGGCCAGGCTGGCAGCTCTCCTGCCCTAGACGGCCACTTTCCTGTGCCTAGTGCGGAG